TGTGTGTGTGTGTGTGTGTGTGTGTGTGTGTGTCTCCTGGGGCTTAAACTTAGCCTATGAAGTCCTTCAGCTTTTTCACTCAAAGCTGGTGCTCCACCATTTGAGCCACAGCTCCTCTTTCAGCTTTTTGGTGGTTAATTGGACATTAGAGCCTCATGGACTTAACTACCTGGGATGGCTTCAAACTGAGATCCTCAGATCTCAGCTTCCTGAGTAACCAGGATTATAGGTGTGAGCCATGGGCACCCAGGATTGAGCAGTCGTGTTAAGCGGGTGTGGCCAGCACAGATGAAGGCCCCTCTCGGTGGGAGGAATCAGTGCGCCTCCCGGGAGGAATTGTGGGCTGTGTGTCAGTTTTAGAATATTATTCCTCTTGGGAGCTGTAACACTAAAGACTTACATTTTGTTTAACAAAATGAAAAATCACCAAGCTGACTGTCCTGTCTCCTTAGACTATTCCAGTGGCTTTGGGGGCAAATACGGTGTGCAAGCCGACCGGGTGGACAAGAGCGCCGTGGGCTTTGACTACCAGGGCAAGACCGAGAAGCATGAGTCACAAAAAGGTATGCACCTCTCCCCTCCTAGTGCCTTTACAGGTAAGAGCACTGTCCTCCTCCCTCCCTCCCTCCCTCCTTCCTTCCTTCTCCCTCCCTTTAGCCCCCTCTTTCTTTTTTTGTAGTACTGGGGTTTGAACTCAGTATTCTTGAACTGTACCTCCAGTTCCCCTCCCTCCCCCCCCATTTTTTTTTTTTTTGGTTATTTGTGGGGCTTGAATTTGAGGAGGTGCTGTCCCTGAACTCTTTTGCTTAAGGTTAGCACTCTACCATTGAGCCACAGCACCACTTCTGGTTTTCTGGTGGTTCATTGGAAATAAGTCTCATGGAGGGTCTGGGAATGTAGCTCAGTAGAAGAGAGCTTCCCTAGTATGCATGAAGCCCTGGGTTTATACACATACACAGAAAAAGCCGGAAATGGCACTGTGGCTCAAGTGGTAGAGTACTAGCCTTGAGCAAAATGAATCTCAGAGACAGCACCCAGGCCCCTGAGTTCAACCCCAGAACTGGCAAAAAAAAGAAAAAGAAAAGAGTCTCATGGACTTTCCTGCCTGGGCTGGCTTTGAACTGAAATGAGATCCTCAGATCTCCTGAGTAGCTGGGGTTACAGGCATGGGCCAGTGGTACCCAGCAGCTTTTTAAAAAGTTTTAGCAAAGGCGCGCGCGCGCGCGTGTGTGTGTGTGTGTGTGTGTGTGTGTGTGTAGTCCTTTATTTTAAAGGTGATGTACAGAGTGGTTACGGATATGTAAATCAGGTCTAGAGTACATTTCTTTTTGGACAGTGTCATCCCTCTCCAGTTTTTCCCTCCTATCTCCATCTACAAGTTGTATTGTTCACTTGCAATATATTGTCTAGTGAGTACCACTGCTGCATTTGTTCACACTTTGTTCCTCTATTTCTGTGCCCCTCTGTAAACAAAAACAACAAAGGAAAAAAACCTTTTTTCCATTTCCTGGAGCTCATTTCAATATAGCAAGGATGTACTTCAGTATATCAAGTAGAGAAGAGTACTGTCTTTGTCCTGTGCAGGAAATAGGAGTTGAGGACTCAGAATGGCAGTTCTTATCTACAGCATGTGTGCTTTCCAGCTGATGCCCAGCTTCTTAAGAATAGAAGTCGAGTAGAGAAACTGCCTTTTAGTGGCTCCTGAGACCTTGGTGTGTTGACTGGTCTGTGGCTGCTGTTGCTCCTAGATTACTCCAGAGGGTTTGGTGGCAAATACGGGATCGACAAGGACAATGTGGACAAGAGCGCCGTGGGCTTTGAATACCAGGGCAAGACGGAGAAGCATGAGTCCCAGAAAGGTGCCTTATCCCTCTCCCTCCCTCCCCCTCCCCTTTCCTTACCCAGCCAGGTCTCTCTGGGGACAAGAAGTCACTCAGAACGGGGAAGCCCTGAAAGTGTGTGGCTCTGGGTTGGTTTGCCACTGTAATAGGGCCAGTGTGCCCAGGGCCCCCAAACCCTTGGTGTTGCTTTCTGTGGGCCCACACCTCCGCACGTGCCTGCGGTGCCTGCCCGTGGTGCCCCTGGCTGTTCCCATGCTGGTCGGAGTGCTGTCCGCGCCGCATGCATTGGAGCTGCTCTGTGGCTGGCTGTCTGTCTGTCACGACACTGACATTACAGACACCCTGGTTTTGTGGCTACCCTGAGGAGGGCCTCCTGTTGGACATGAGCCAGACAGTGACGGAAGCTGTGCGTGTGAGGGTGTGTTCCATGAGGGGTGTCCTGCCTGTGCGGCCCCCCCCACCCCGGCCGATGGTCACTGTGGCCTTCTGTTGTGCATGTAGACTATGTGAAAGGGTTTGGAGGAAAGTTTGGTGTGCAGACAGACAGACAAGACAAGTGTGCCCTTGGCTGGGATCACCAGGAGAAGCTGCAGCTGCATGAATCTCAAAAAGGTACATTCTTCAGGCGTTCTGGAACTTTCCTCTGTCCTAGATCCATCCCTGTGCTGTCTACTGTACTCCTGTCCTGGAGATGTCACGTCCTCACTGTTTGAAGCTGTTCTGTGCCTCCTGGGGGGTCATACCTTCCTGCCACACCCGCCCTCCTCATCCCAAGGGCTGGGGATGGACCAGGGCCTTGTGCCCATTAGGCAATCTTGTGTCACAGGCGCCCCAGCCCCAGCACACTCCTAAATGGAAGTGTTTCCTTATCAGAACAGGAGGACTGTCCAGGGGAAAGAGCCCCGGGGGTGGCGGGGGGAGTGGGGAACAGGGAACGGGTGTGGGGGAAAGCCCTCAGGTTTGCCGAGCCTCTTCCCATGCGGAGCCGCGCTTTCTGGCCAGCAGCCTTGGCGTGGAGTGTTCTTGCTATTCGGTTGCCAGTGTAGTTCTGGGTCTCTCAGTTGCCTGCTGCTGGCTCAGGCCTCAGCTTGGACATGCTGGTTTTAGTCTGACCCTTAACCTCCCTGGCCAACCTGAGGCTGTTGGGCCCTGTGTGAGAGCCGTGTACCGCCTGCGTGGTTCTAACCCGACCTGTCTTTGCTCTTGGTTTGCTCTCCCCACTGTTGCTTGCGGATTTCCAGATTATAAGACGGGTTTCGGAGGCAAATTTGGTGTTCAGTCCGAGAGGCAGGACTCCTCCGCTGTGGGGTTTGATTACAAGGAGAGACTGGCCAAGCACGAGTCCCAGCAAGGCACAGTTGTCCCCTCCCCGCCCCCCCTTGCAGTGTGGCCACGTGTAGCCAGGCTTCAGGTTCACTGCCAGGGCACTGGCCTTCACCCAGCCCACCTGGAACTGGGTCCTCTTGCCGCTCCCTTCCCCCTCCGCCCTGCAGACCTCGTGGAGGGCAGAGGCAGTGTGCAGGTCATGCCACTCTGGTCCCGTGTCGTGTTCGGTTCCTGGAGCGGGGTCCCCACCACGTGCCAGCGGCCCCTGCAGGAGCTCGTTTGCTCTGTGCCAGGCCTCGTCACCTCAGGGAAGAAGGAGGCGCTCCGTGTGGGTTCTGTGTTGCGTCTGTGCTGGTGTCTTGTTCGTTTTGTATTTCTGACACCATTCATGTGTAGCTTGCCCCACACAGAGCCCCGTGTTGGCCCACAAAGCTAGAAGACATATGTAGGTAGGCAGGCCGGAGCTGACTGGGCTTGCCATATGCAGCCCTTTGTTGCCCTCAGGGTTTGGCCCTGGGGACTAGAACCTGGGCCCGCAGTAGAAGGCAGGGCAGAGTTGAGACTTGAGACAGGTTTAGGGCCAGCCTGGCCTCCTGCTGCCAGGCAGTGGGACTGTCAGGTAGACATGTATTGCAGCCACCCCCTGGCTGCCAAGTTTTCCACATGGAGTTTCTTTTTCTTTTAAAAAGCAAGAGAACTGCAGCTGAGCCTCTATTTAGCGCTCAGTCGAGCAGGCGCACGGGAGACAGATGGCAATAAGGCCCCTGGCTGGTGCAGAAGACTGTGCTATTGAAGTGGCCCACTGCAAAGGCCTGTCCTGTGCCCGCCTTCCTCGCTTCTGTCCCACCAGCCTTTGCCCTTTCCCTTCCTGTTCCCCCGAGAATGCTGGGTGCATGTCCCCTACCCATCCTGCTCCCTGCCTGTGCACTGAACGCCACCGTTAGATGCCACACTTGCCTGGCCAGGAAAGCCTGTCCCCCGGTAGCTCTCGTGTCCTTTGGCTCTGGGTGCATTTCCTGGCTGTCTCTGGACCCGTGTGCATGCACCTGCTGTGAGCCGGGTCTCCCCTACCCCCCACCCTCGCCCTCACCTCACAGCAAGTCTTTTACCACCTTCCAGATTACGCCAAAGGATTTGGCGGGAAGTACGGAGTCCAGAAGGATCGGATGGATAAGGTGAGCATTTGAGATGGGCAGTGCTCTGCCTGCAGGTTTGTGTGTGCCTGCGGCTGTGCCCTTGTCCTTTAGCGCTCCGCTCTGAGGGCTAGGCATCACCTGGGGAGGTTGGCGTGGCCCCCTCAGCACACCTGTATGCTACACCTGTTCATTGCCCAGTCGGGGGCCAGGCAGGCTGGCTCCATGCCTGCCCTAGCCTAGCTGTGAGGACAGGGTGCCTCAGCTGAGCCCAGACCTTTAACTTGGGGCCCTTGAAGACACATGGCTATTTGGACTTGACTCCTATTGGTTCAGGTTGAGCATTGAGTTCCTTTATCACACTGGTCATGTGAGAAGAACTTGGTCCACAGTCACACTGGGGTGGGCACATGTGGCTGCTGGTGGAGGGGTCATGTGCCTGGCTGCTAGTGAGGTGGTCAGGTGCAGCTGCTGGCTGCCATCTTGGACAAAATGCATCAGACCCTCGCGGCCCGCAATGTTGGCTTCTTCGGGCCTGGCTGTCTCGCCCAGGCTGGCCTCAAACACTTTCATCCTATCTTACCTCCTGGGTGCCCCACCTTGCAAGACTAAATCTGTACTCTTTTGGTGTTTTTGTTTGTTTGTTTTGGTCAGTCATGGGGCTTGGACTCTGGGCCTGGGCACTGTCCCTCAGCTCTTCAGCTCAAGGCTAGTGCTCTACCACTTGAGCCACAGCGCCACTTCTGGCTTTTTCTCCTTATGTGGTGCTGAGGAATCAAACCAGGGCCTCATGCATGCAAGGCAAGCGCTCTACCACTGAGCCACCTTCCCAGCTGAATGTGCACTCTTAGCCTCTGGAAGATTCCTGTGGAAACATACCTGTCCTCTCCTGGGGGTTCTGTGCTCTTTTGTGTTGGAAACCAGTTCTAAGCTATGGAGTGACTGCTTTCTAGTCTTAGCCTAGTGATGTCAAAAGTGGGGTCCTCCGGCTGCCTGGTGGGCACTGAGTTCCCCAGCCAGCGATGAGTCTCCACTTCCTGTCAGTTCAGCTGCATGTGTCCCCTCTTCCCGCAGCTCTGCGAGGCTCACCTGCAGCATGGCTGTCATCAGTGACACCTGCTTCTATTGAGCCCACAGCTGGTTGTACATGGTACTTGGATCGCTCCCCCAAGTGAGGTGGCCCCACTGAGGGCTCTGAGAACGCAACAGGGCAGGTGGGGTCTGAGGAAGGCAGTGGGGTCCGATTTGGTTTTTTAAGGGTGAGTAGGAGTTGAGAGCAGAGGATGTGGTACGTGCCACGTGTGGGAACGGGCCCTGCACATAGGGGAGCTGAGGAGCCCCAGCCTGTGTGAGGGCTTTCATGAATGTGCTGAGTGGCACTGGCCACAGCGGGGAGGGCAGTCTGCAGGTGAGCCCCTCGGATTTTGAGTGGAGAGGCTCTGCCCTGAGGCGTGTGGGGTAGAGGGGCGGGGCGGGGTTCTGGGTACAGAGGAGGGCATACCAGGGGACCTTGGGCGGCAGGGATGAAGAATGGGGCGGAGTGTGAGGAGACAACAGATGGGGCTGGCTGCCCCCAGGGCTGCTCCACAGTGATCAGGCTGGTCACCGGAGGCCTGGGGAGGAGGGGAAGGAGGAGGAACCAGCTGGTGTGGGGAGTGAGTGAAAGTCTGGTTGTGGCTTTGTGGTCAGGTTTTGAGGAAGTTGCTGTCCTGTCTGGTGGGTGCTGATGGTAGTGGCAGTGTCCTGACCTTGGGCTCGCTGGGTGGAAGCAGGGGAGGTTAGCGCTGTGAGTGAGGGAGACGGAAGTGTGAGAAGGTGGAAGCTGTGGTCAGTGTGTGGGCTGGGGTGTGGCTCCGTGCCTGCCTAACCTGGCTTCCTTCTCAGAGGCCTAGAGTTAGTTCGCTTCTCAGAGCCCTGACAGCCAGCACCCAGGTCAGCCTGGTGCCGTCAGTTGAGAGCCCATGAAAGGAGTTGAAGGCATGATCACATGCACTAGGAGGGCCTTGTGTGTGTCCAGGGTCCTCATCCACGGAGCACAGCTTCCCTGTAGGCAGGGTGGGCTGGGCTGAGGAAGAAGCCCAGTTCTTCATCCCGCAGATTTGGTGGCATCTGTATGATCTTTATGCTTTTTTTTTTTTTTTTTTTGCCAGTCCTGGAGCTTGAACTCACGGTCTAGGCACTGTCCCTAAGCTTCTTTTGCTCAAGGCTAGCGCTCTACCACTTGAGTCACAGCACCACTTCCAGGTTTTTCTGAGTAGTTTATTGGACATAAGAGTCTCACGGCCTTTACTGCCCAGGCTGGCTTCGAATCGCAGCCCTCAAATCTCAGCCTCCTGAGTAGCTCGGATTACAGGCATGAGCCACCAGCGCCCTGCCCTCTGTGTGCCCTTGTGTGGTGCTGACTCACGATGATCAGTGTGGCCAGGCCTCAGGACCCAGGAGCCTGCCTGCTTTGATCTGTTGGGACTTCGGATGCTATGGAGAAGGCTGTGATAGTTGAGCAGTTTGGCGTCGTTGTGGGTAGAGAGGCTGAGAAGAGCGCTGTCCTCCCTTCTCTCCTGTCTGCAGAACGCGTCCACCTTTGAGGAAGTTGCACAGGTGTCCTCCGCCTACCAGAAGACCATCCCAGTTGAGGCTGGTGAGTCTTGCTTTCCCAAAGCCCAGAGAGGGCTTGTAGGTGAAGGTGCACCGGAATCCAGTGAGGAGGGGAACCAGGAGCACGGAGGGCTTGGCTAAGAGCCTGTGGCCGCTGGATCTTCAGGGAGACACTGGGACAGTTGACAGGGGTCCTGCTTGCTCCAGTAAGCCCTCCAGTAAGGGCTCTGGGTGGGATTTGTTTGAGGGCACTTTCTAGAGAGAGGGACTGTGTCCCCAAGGGTCCTAAGACAGATTCTGAGAACCACCCACACGTTCACTTCCCTGAACTCACTGGCCACAGCCACTGGAGGAGGAAAGTATCTTGGCATCCCCTTGTGAGCAAAACCAGAGGCCTTGGTTCTCCCTCTGGGCCATGGACCAGGTTGCTCATACATGTCCTGTCACAGGCTGCCAGGCCACGCCCTGAGGAAAGTATTATGTAGTTGAAGAAAAGTAATTTGGAATAGCAGTCATCAAAGCCATGATGAAGCAGTCACCAGAGGTCCTGATTCTGTGTTCCAGGACACTCACTCATGCATGACTATCTCTGAGGGCCAGGGAGCACTCGTGGTCATCTTAGCTGCTGCCTACTGGGTTACAGAGCAGTTTGAAATTAGGTCATTTAACAAGAAGGCCATTACTACGCCGACCTGATATCCTTCCTTTTGGAAAGCAGCTGCAGTTTCCAACTTGGAAGAACACTTAGTGAGAAGAGTGGCCAGTCCAGTTTGTCTCCTAGAGAATGGCAGGCTGCGTGCCTGCCTCCCCTCCTTTCTCCGCCTGCCTTAGGCAGGGGATGGGGAGGAGCTTTGAGCCCCTCTCAGTCACAGCAGGAGTGTACGCAGTGTACAGGTGTGCTGTACACTCCTGCCCTGCAGTGCTTCTGCAGGCTGCCCATTGGGCAGTTCTGACTTGGTTATGCTCCTCACCAACAGAATCTTGGGACTCCATGTTGATGGTGGCCCCAACAAATTCTGCAAAGCCCTGAGTTTGCTTGAAAGCGTCAAGTTTCCCCTGGTGACAAACATCGCAGTGTACTTTGCTGCCCGCTGTGCCCGGGCACTGGCTTTGGTGGAAATGTCTTCCTGACATGGGATCCACACAGCTCTTGCACCACTAGTCAGCGGAGGGACAAGTATTCAGCACTTCCTGCTGTGTTTCATCCTGAAGGGAGCTAGGCTGTTGGGCATGTGCAAGCTGAATGTCCCAGGTTCGAGGCTGCGGTGCCCCGTGGATGGGGCACGCCCCCCCTTGGGTGTCACCCTTGAGCGGCTTTTGTCCTGGGGTTGTGTTTTGAGAGAGATGTCCTCTCTCCTTTCTCCAGTGACCAGCAAAACCAGTAACATCAGAGCTAACTTTGAAAACCTGGCCAAGGAGAGAGAGCAGGAAGACAGGCGGAAGGCGGAGGCAGAGAGAGCTCAGCGGATGGCCAAGGAAAGACAGGAGCAGGAGGAGGCTAGAAGGAGGCTGGAAGTGAGTAAGGAGTTGGCCGTCAGGACTGCGTGCTCATGGGTGGTGTGTGAGGTCGCGTTTTTCACACCGGTACAAATCTAGCTGTGTTGGGAGTGGGGAGGGGCTGGGAGTAGCACCTGTAAGTGACTGGGTAGGCCCAGCCGCCCTGGCCTCCACCTGCTGCTGCTCAGCCTGTCCTGCCCTCAGGCACCCACGGGAGGGGCACTGGTGCCTTGGGCATTTCCAGGGCTGACCTGGTGGTGCAGGGAGGTGCCAGGGCTACACAGATGTGGAGGCTCTGCTCAGGGTCTTCCAGAAGACTCTCACCCCATTAGATGCTCCCCACGTTCCCAGCCACCCTCTCCTTCCCCAGGTGTTTCCTGTGGTGTTACTTTAGAGGGTCTCACTCTGGGTGGACCCATTACCTTGCCTTTTGCAGCCTCTAGAGGCCACCTGGCCCCATCCCCACACACTCCCGTGCCTCCTTTCAGCATCACACTGCCTAGCTGCCCCCTCTCCTCACCCCCTCCTGTTAAACAGGGCAGGATGTCAGCCGCCAGAGGGCCTGGAGCGGTCTGTCCATCAGAGGCTCCTTCAGCCCCCTGTACCTACAGTCCTTTTCACAGGCTGTGGTCACAGAAGTTGGGGGCGGGAGTGGGGTTTGTGGCAACGTCATATCCCTACAGCCTAGCTGATGGCATCAAGAGTCATGTCTGCCCTCCCCCCGCCCCCCCCCCACGTTCAGTCCCAGTTCCCCCAGGGCCCGTTGGCCATCATTCAGTGATGAGATGAGTATCAGCAACAGCTTTGTGCCAGCTGGGGCCTCTGTCCTCGAGACGCTTGGCATCGTCAGGTCTGGTCGATACTGGCATTGTGGGCCTCCAGGGCCGTCCTGGAGAATGCCTGACTGACCGCGTGGCCTTGGCTGGAAGCCCTGCCCTCCTCTCTGTGCTGCACTCGAGCGCCACCTTGTGACAGGCCGTTTCTGCGGACACAGATGTGACTTGGGCTGACCTGGTAAGGATGGTGTTGATGTTTTCCCATTACAGGAGCAAGCCAGAGCCAAAAAGCAAACGCCCCCTTCCTCCCCCACTCCTCAGCCGGCTGAGGAGAGGCTGCCTTCCAGCCCTGTCTATGAGGTTGGTCTTTTCATTTGCTTTGTGAACAAGTGGCTCACTGCTTGACACCAGGTGTCCTTGCGCTCTCTCTGGGTGGTGCCAGGCAGTGCCGTTCCTGTGTGGAATGGTGTGTGCAGCAGGGCCTTGGGTGGGCAGCACTCCTGCGGGTGTGGCTGCTCTCCCTCACCTCCCAGCCATGCCCTGCAGTTGGGGTGCCATGGTTGGTCTTCTCTCACTCGTTCTCCACAGGTTGGGCTGGCACCTGCCCTGGCCCATCTTCCCCACTGTGCTCGGCGTCTCCTCTTCAGCTCTCCCTCAGCCCGGAGGTGCTGGACTGTCTGCCCGGCAGACACTCTCTGGGCTGGGGGCTCCCTTTCCATGCGTCTGCCCCTGGCACTGCAGGGCCACGGGGTCTTCTTACCACAGCAAGACTTAGTCAGGGAGCTCCTGTGGCAACTGGCAGGAACGGGCCACACTTCATCACTGCCCCTCCCCCGTGTGGCAGATGCAGGACGTGGTGGACGTGGCCCGTAGCTACAATCTGGCAAACGCCTATCCTTGAGCTGCCCCTACGTAGCCAGTCTCCTTCCAGAGGAAGATCTTGGGTGACTGGCGGTGTGTGCTGCTGTGTGATTATCAGCTGCCCTGCCAGGAGAGGGACAGACACAAGGCTGCCACACCACAAACTGGCTGCCCGCCCTCATGTCTCCTCATGTCTCCCCTTGGTGCCAGGGAGCTGGCTGGAAGGAACCCATGGCCGGTCACTTCCTTGGCTTGAACTCTTCCGTGGACCCTAGCCCTGCCCTGCCTGGCAGTGGCTGTTGTCCTTGGCCTAGGGGCTGCTGGTCCTACCTGCCACCCTCTGAGACTCCCTGCAGGCTATTCCCGGTCTTGCCCTGCAGTGGTGTGTGTGCGGGGGTTGGGTTGCTGCTCAGAAACCTTGATGCAGACAGCAGACAGCTTGAGATAACCATGTGGTTATCTCTAAACCTTTGTTGTTCTAGAGTGTGATTCGGTGGCAGCTCTGTGCTGGCAGGGATGGAGGATTTGGTTAGATCAGAGCCTGCTCTCCCCTTTCCAGCGCCAGGCAGCGGCTGGAGTGGGCGGCAAGCCACTGCCAGGTGGGAGGGCTGGTGTGCCCTCAGAGACTTCAGGCCTGAAAGAAACAGCCAGGCACGGCCAGATGTCAGCCCTGGGGGCTGGCATGGGGCTGCGGTTGGTTCCTAGGAGATGGTGGACTAGGGACGATGGTTTGGCCAGAATGGGCCTTGAGAAGTCCCCACTGCTCCCTAGGATGCAGCCTCATTCAAGGCAGAGCCCAGCTACCGAGGCCCCACAGGTGGGAGTGAGCCAGAGCCTGCCTACAGCATCAAGGCTGCAGACCTCCCTGAGGCCACCGGCCAGCAGGGCCCGGCTTACACCACGGAGGCCGTCTACGAAACCACGGAAGCCCCAGGCCACTACCAAGAAGGTGAGCCGCACTCTAGCACCTGCCAGTGAGGGGTGGGGGGAAGACCCCTCCAAACCCACCCATCCATGTCCTTCAGTGCCTTACCTGCCCGTCTGTGGGCTCCTCCCTGCCCAGGCACCCCAGAAGTGCTATGCTGTGCTTCCCTCCTGAGACACAGCCCTTCCCACAGTGGTGCGTGATGGGCTAGCCTCAGTCCTTCCTGCAGCAGTGGAGGGTGGCTCTGCAGTGGGAGCCACTCCAGTCAGGCAAACAGTGTCGGGGTGCCGTGTCTTCCCACTGTCCCCCCATTCCAGTCAGGAGGACAGTGCTGGGGTGAGGCGTCTTCCCACCTCCCCACTGGCCAGGGCTCTCCCAGCCTTCCCTGGATCACTGAGCTCTCTGCTCTCAAACTCAAGTGGAGAAGGTCTGCGCACCTGGCTGGGTGGTGGGCTCTCTGAGGGTGGAGTCCCGGGCCTGCCTTTCTTCTGTTGCTCTAAGGCTTGATTTCCTGCTCTCCAACCCCTGCTAGGTAGGGAGGTGTTGCCCTTGTGTCCTCCTGGCACGGGTCTTGGGGGCATGCTGTGTGAAGATGTGGGTAGAGAGGGCGTCGGTGTCTAGCCTCTGCTTAGCTTTTTCTCACTTTGCTTTCAGAGGAGAACACATATGATGAGTACGAGAACGACCTGGGTGTTACAGCCATCGCCCTCTATGACTACCAGGCTGGTGAGCCTCCCTCCCTGCCCCTCCCGGAGAGTCTCGTCTGGCTAGACTATAGTTTCCTTCTCTTTTTGGTGGGGTATGGCTGTGTTGCCCAGTTTGCCTTGAACCGCTGGGTAAGCATAAGCAGTCCTGCCTTAGCTTCTAGTAGCTGGAACCACATAGGCATCCTCTACTACTCCTGGTTATAATTTCTTCTTTCCCTCTTTCCCTCCCTCCCTCCCTCCCTCTCTCCCTCCTTCCCTCCACTACTCCTGATTATAATTTCTTCTTTCCCTCCCTCCCTCCCTCCTGTCTGTCTGTCATGGGGCTTGAACTCTGGGCCTGAGCTCTGTCCCTCAGCTCTTCAGCTCAAGGATAGAGCTCTATCACTTGATCCACAGTGCCACTTCCAGTTTTCTAGTGGTTTATTGGAGATAAGAGTCTCATAAGAGTCTCATGGACTTTCCTGCCTGGGTTGGCTTTGAACCACAATCCTCAGATCTCATCCTCCTGAGTAGCTAGGATTACATGTGTGAGCCACTGATACCTTTTTGTTCTCTCTCTTTTTCTTTCTTTTTTTTTGGTAGATTATGGGGCTTGAACTCTGGGCCTGGGCGCTATCCCTCAGCTCTCCAGCTCAAGGCGAGCGCTCTACCACTTGAGCCACAGCACCACTTCTGGTTTTTCTGTTGGCTTATTGGAGAAAAGTCTCACGGACTTTCCTGCCTGGCTGGCTTTGAACGGTGATGCTCAGATCTCAGCCTCCTGAGTAGCTAGGATGACAGGCATGAGCCACCAGCGCCCGGTTCCCCACCCCCTCATGGACTCTCTCTCTCTCTCTCTCTCTCTCTCTCTTTCTCTCTCTTTGGCCAGTCCTAGACCTTGAACTCAGGGCCTGGGCACTGTCCCTGAGCTTTTGCTCAAGGCTAGCACTCTACCACTTGAGCTACAGTGCCACTGTTGGCTTTTCTGTTGATGTGGTGCTGAAGAACCAAACCCTGGGTCATGCATGCTAGGCAAGCATTCTACCACTGAGCCACCTTCCCAACCCCTCTTAACCTACTTTTTGAGGCAAGGCCTCACTATATTACCCTGGCATTATAGGCATTCTACCACCATGGCTAGTTTCTGGGTATGGTTTTAGAACATGCTAGGTAATGGTGGCTCACACCTGTAATCTTAGCTACTCAGGAGGCTGAGATCTGAGGGTTTCATTCTAAGTCAGCCCAGGCAGCCATATTTGAGAGATTCTTTTTTTTTTTGGTCAGTTGTGGGGCCTGAACTCTGGGCCTGGGTGCTGGCCCTCAGCTCTTCAGCTCAAGGCTAGCACTCTACCACTTGAGCCACAGTGCCCACTTCTGGCTTTTTTCTTTTTGCTTATGTGGTGCTGAGGAATCGAACCCAGGGCCTCAGGCATGCAAGACAAGTGCTTTACCACTGAGCCACCTTCCCAGCCCCTGTTTGAGAGATTCTTATCTCTAGTTAACTAGTAAAATGCCAGAAATGGAGGTGTCTCAAGTGGTAGAGAACCAGCCTTGAACAGAAAAAGCCAAGCAAGACC